CGTTCTTGAACGATGGTAATAATAAGTGATAAAATTTTCCTGAAAAAAGTGACTTGCTACGACGCAGCGCTTATCGAAAAAAGTCTTAAGTATATGAATACGGAGTTTATGAAAGATATTATGACCCAGATTAGACCGAGATTTTATTCTAATTACTTTTGAGATTTATACATGCATGTTTCATATCTTACTTGCTCGGATACATTAATGCGCAAGGTACATTAGGGAGGTGTTCTGGCGTGGAGACATGAGTTTTGTGTGATTTTTGAAAGGACGTAAATTTTTTTTTACAAGTTATTAGTTAATGTTTTGGGAATACAAAAAAATAGTCAAAGTTTTAATGCTGAAAGGTACCTGACTATACCGAAGACCGAAGAAAAAAATTTATATATATTATTAATCTATAACAATGTCGTAATTGTATGAACTACGGACAAGTTAAAGTAACTTGTTTTCACAGAATAGCGACTGTCTGAAGGAAAAGAAGATAAACTATTTTTTGATATTCTGGAATTTTTAAAAATAGTAAAAATATGAATTTGGGAATGAGAGTAGTTTATACTGAAGAAAAGTCTGTAAAAATTCCAAGTAGATATCGTATCGAAAAAACACTTTCCAGAGAAACGCGTTCAAAAGTTCGCGGATAGAAGAAACAGATAAAGATTATCGTGGTGAAATTGCTATATCTTAGAAAATAATATAAATTTTGAAAAATCCTCTTCTAAGCATATTCTTGAATAGCTAGATTTTATATCAGAATACCTCCTTAATAAATCTTATTGGCTAATCTAAGCATAAAGAATTAATTAATGTTGTTTCCAAATTTTAAACATTTTTTTCAACATTGAATTCATTCTGAATGCCGATTTTATAAATACTTTCATTTGACTTTTACTCTTAGTGAGTTATAATTAATAAGTGGAATTTGAATAAAATATTACATTTAGAAGAAAAAAATGGTTTACTGCTTGAGTTTTGATTAAGAGATGTTTATACAGTATTACAAATTCTCATACAAAATGAGAATCGCATACAAGTTCGAAAAATGTAAAAATTATTTTTGAACGACTCCAATTTACAGTATCTAAAATAATTAATCATTCTAATTCTTTCTACTACGAACTCCAAAATCAACTCATTTATAGTATATATTTGTAGTAGTCTTATTTTCAACTTGAAGCAAATTTCTTCAGTTTACTACTTTTAAATTTGATTATGAATGAAAATATCTTAATTCATCACCCATTTAGTAATTTACAACGTATTGCTTTCAATTTTACATCATTAGTTACTTGATATCTTTTCGTAAATCGAAGCTATACAGTTTCATCTACGAGGTTTGCATCAAGGAATAATGTAGGTAAATATAAATTTAAATGAGAAATTCGATCGTAATAAATCGCGTTGTATATAGATTTATATGCTCTAGTCAGGTTAGGAAGTGAAATCTTGTTCGATGAGCTCCTTATAATATTTTTTAGCATTTGGTTAGGCTAAATTGTTTCTCAAACAAATAGGAGTATTGGAATGAAAATTTTGTCATTATTTTAACCCAAATGACATTTCCTCTAGGTGCCGAGCAATTATCAAAAAAATAATGAACTTTTTTGACCATTTACAAACATCCGCTAAATTTATATTATTCGCTTAAATTAGTCATATAATTCGACAACTATTGGAATTATATTTTTAATATTCAAGTTCATGCAACTTGCCTTAAGACAAAATGCCACTTGTGACTAGTTTTATTTAATATATAATAAATTTTCCGAGACACTTTTGAAAAACTCATTTTTCTATCACTATTGTTTCTTAAAAAAAGTCTTTATAGCTTTGTCTATAAAACACATCGATTTGGATATTTGTTTTGAGCTTGAATTTTATTTTCCGTAGATTTTTATTGCATAGTCGTTGTCATCTTTTGCATTAGCAAATTGCAATCGCAGTTGAGAGAATTGTCTTTGCTAGAGATTTCTTGGTTGTGCGAGGATGCAATTCATTTAACTTTCAATTTCAAATTATTTAAAAAAAAGTAATGCTTTGAAATCAAATCATCACAACATCGAAAATCTAACGATGCATATTGAAAATTAGTTCCAATTAAGCAGAAAAGCAATTACTAATAAATTGCAATTCATTCGCTTATCGTAGATTTGTAATATTTTAGTATGATATTTCAGACTATGAAATCCATCGCCGTAGAAAGTTTCAACAAAATCGTCGGACAATGTTTTTTTCAACGTTTATGGTCCACTCCTGCCGCACAAAACACCATTGTAATGGAAAGGCCATATGTTACGCTCCAACTTTCATACATTATGCTAGTGAATCATACTGAATACTGTCAAAATGTCATGCATTTGCTGTGCATTCAGGCAGTTTTATACATAAACTACAACGTCACTTGTATGTTATGAAGCTGGGTCAGAAAGACCCTGTTTAATAAGATCGTTTTTTTTGACATTTGTGTGATTTCTAGATTAAGATTTCTATCAATCACATGGCTTTTGTCAATATTTAGTATGGAAGGTTTTTCATAACATTGGTCTGTTGTGCGGCAGAATCAGTTGATTAATTACGAAGAAACGGCCCGTCCGATCTTTACCAAAAACTGATCAGCGCCATTCCGAATCAATATCTTTCGATCAGTTTTTGAAGTTTTAAAATCGGCTTAAGATTGTTGGCTAGAAGGTAGAAGAAAATTTTTACATTTTTCTTCTAACTACAAAGAAACGGCTTGGCTGATCGTCGCAAAATTGACAAATGCTAATTTCAGCCGTTTTTTAAGAAACGTCGACAAACGGTTAAAAATAGGTTACATACACACACACATACTTTTTTAGATTTTACTCTCATTCGATTCAGGATGACTTGAAACGTCAAGAAATAAAACCAAGTGGTTTATTGTTTTTATTGGTGCCTTAAGGTAAATTGCTGGAACTTCCCGTACCGTACCAAAATATTAAAGAAAAATTAGTTAATAGATTTTTATAAATACTGTAACTTTTAATATTCTTATTTTATAGACAAAATATGAGTTTATGAATTCGAAGACGACGTTCAAATATGTATTACAGAAAAGTTAATAAACAAAAATTTGATCAATCGGGTTTTAAATATTTAATATTTATAAGAATTATGTGAACTGAATTGCAAAGTTAAAATTATTTATTTAAAGTATATAAGTGAGCTTTAGATCTACTGTCAAAATTAATACTAAAATTTGAATTAAAATTCGAAAAATTATTTCGAAAAAAAAATTTAAATGAAAAAAAAATTCACAAAAGCAATTGTTTCGTTAACACAAGTAGAAAGTTTTTCGAATCATTCAAATCATATGTTTATTCTCTCAAAAACTGTCATATTTTGCACATTTAGCTCCCTACCTCCGAAACTTCTGGACCTGCCTTTGCCAAAAACTAATCACCAATTTTCCCCATCATTACGAATTTCTAAGCTATTCGATCTTTCAAATCAGATGCTCCGTACTCTCAAAAACTCGATTTCTATAATCTGCACTCTTCGCTCCATATCTTCGAAATGGCTGGACTTGCCTTTGCCAAAAACGAATCAGCATATCTCCCTATCAATATAAATCGAATGTTTTTCGAACCATACAAATCGGTTGATCTGTGAGACCGAAAACGTGGATAAAAAACGTGGACATACACATCAATTTTTTCTAAGGAATGCCAAAATGTTCAGAAAACTTCAAAACGTGAAGAAATGCAAAAATTTTCAAAATCGAGTTTTGGACGATTATAATAACTTACCCTACGAGAAGTTACTACCAAATCAGAATTTCTTACAAAACCATAAGCTTCTTCTTCAGGAAGTTAATAACTACTTGTTATATCATAGTTATAATTTCCTACTAATGATGAGTTATAATTATCGTTAATGATCAAATAATAATTTCAGAACATGGTAATCCTCATTACGTGTCTAATTATAATTATAATATGTACTCATTGACAACCAAGTTCAAATTGCGAAAACTAGATGTCGTAATTAGATATATTCTGAAATAAACCGTAAATGCAATTCTTCATTCATTGATTCATTCATTCATCAGCGTAGGTATCCCAGGAATCAGGAAGACGTAAATATGTTTTCCTTTTGGCATTTCGTATGAAAAGAGATTTGACTTTCCTATATGAATACACTATAACAGGATATTAGTACTCTGTGCTGCTATTGAGCTTTTGATAGCAGTTGAGAACTTTCAAGGTATTTTGCGTAATTGCCTAAGTTTGATATTATTTCTTTAGAAATTGTATTTTAAATGTATTACTAAAGTTCTACGAAGCATAAAATGACTGCTTGTGATATTTGAACTCGCATTTCACCGGTAAGTCGAAAGTCCACTTTCGTGTTACATTATTTAAAATAACTCGCGTTAGTTCAGATTTTGTCTCCAAAGATACGGTGGAGGGTTTTCTATTCAATATGAGTTCTGGAACTTCAAAGAAATTTATGTGCTTGATTTATCTTTCAAAAAAGTTGTATTGTGAATAAAAATGTAGTCAAACTTGTCGAACTTTTACAAGAGTTTTATAGGGTGTTGGTAAAGGAGCACAAGAATCGAAATACTTTATTATATAGTGAAAATAATTTTATAAAAATAAAATTTTACCAATAAAAATATAGTTCATCAAATGTTAACACAATCATAGTATTTTTTACTGATCACTTTTTTAAATTTTCAATAAAAACAAAAATCGATAAAAATATTTTTCAACATAGGTTTGTATGTTAAAGAATACTTAAATATTTAATAATAAACAGATTTTTTTATATAAAAAAATCATAATACATTTAGAATGAATTCTAAGCTTTCAGAATATACAAAGGTTCTATATGTGATAACAAATTAGATCTAAATAACTATTATTGCAAATAATTATTTAAAAACAAAAAATATATCACAGTTTTGTGACAATGATTGTGTGCAGCCTTCATTTTTTTATTTTGAAGTTTTTCTTCTGATGAATAATTACATTTCAAGTGCCGGTACATATAACGAATTGCGAGGTGTAAGTGGCATTTTACTTTAAGAAATTTACACAAACTTCCCCATACGTGTAACTAACCGGTTTAATTAATAAAAAAATGACTCGTATATGATGGACCTATCTTTACCTGCCTACCTACCTACATGTCTAAGTGTCTACCTATATATCTACTTTTACTTGACAGAACTGTAAGATGACAGGGTATCCCAGACTCAAGTCAAAACTGGGTGATTGTAGTGACCTCAATGGTCCTGAAAAAAATTAAAAAAAATATATCTCACGTTATTTACAAATTATGAGCTTTTAAGTGGAACCTAGAGCTTTGGTGAATAGATGACAATTTTTTGGTTATTGTGGTTAATTTTTAAATATTTTTCTTCATTTAAATTTTGGAACCGTAACTGTGAATAACATTTCTAAGATCACGGTAAAATATAATAACACAATTGCCCCAATTTTACCAAAATTAAGACTTCTTGTTGATTTATGAACTTGAAATTTTCAAAATTGCTCGTCTTTGAGAGAGGCTCTCATTTAAAAATATTACACTAAAGTGTGTTGACAAGTTTCATCAAAAGTTGATGCATTTAATCAGGATTGTAAAATAGTTAAATGGTTGATATTTTTATTATTGGAAAATTTCAAGTAAAAAAAGAAAAACCTAAAAATGACAAAACATTGTGTTGCTGAATAGTCGACTAACAATCGGTCAAAAAGTTTTTTGAAATAAAAAGTAAACAAAACTTCTACAATATATATATATATATATATATATATATATATATATATATATGTATATATATAGGTATGTATGTTGTACTTAATTATGAATAACATTTCAACTGGAGCTTAATTAAACCATCACAATTCATTTATTTTTAATTTATCCTCTATTCGATATCGTTTTTCATATTTAGATTACTATACACATAAAATTAATAAAACAAATTAATCAAGTTTAATATTTCAATTTATTGATTTCAGGGTAATTAATTTTATTGCAGTAATAAAATATTCATTACAATCGAATACTATTTTAATACTACCGTAGCAAACATTTTGTTTCATGAAATTAAATTGATATTATTTGTTCATTTAAATAATTAGTCAAAATTAATAAACCCTACAAGAATATTTGTATGCGCATACCTATTTAGAGAAAATATTAACTTTAAACCGCTTCAAAATAATTGATAAAGTATTTGTTAAATTAAATATAGCATTCGCAAAAGAGATTTTATAAAATGTAACATTGTATTCAGAAACGAACTAAATTATTTTGCTCACGTTTTCAGAATATAATACGCTAACAGTTCGTCGAAGCAAATACTTTTTATTACAATAACTTTTCTATGCATAATATTTAATATTGAAAATTTTGTACAACTTTTATATTCGTAAAGCAGTTAAATTTTTTATGTACACAAGAAAATTTTTATATCAAATGTTATAAGCGGAAAAAAATGATTTTGTTGTTAAGTAAATTGCTTGTATATAACCAAAATAGAACCCGCAATTGATATAGAATATTTAAATGTAAATCCTTTAAATCTAAACTAATGTGAAACTTGATGACTTCCCAAGAGAGCAGTTTATTTTGGCCAGATAATCCGATTTTCTAATTTTGTTTTCTTGACAAAAATTTACGAATAGAAATAAATCCTGTGAAAATTGTATTCAAACATTATATTATCAATAATTAACTATATTGAGTAAAAATATAAAAATAAATATCTATGTACAATATTGTTTGTAATATATTGGTGTAATATTTTTACATGATTTTTAACCAATATTGTGATAGTATTTGTGGAGTCAGTTATGAATATTTGGGTTAAGATTGGTTAATTTTTAGCGAAAACATTTTGCTTTTGGCAATATTTTTTATTGTTTTAACTGTTTACTCTACAATGTAATGATTACATTAACGATTTATTGGTTCAATTATTTAGTTCAAGCATGTAATTAACCAATTTTTTGTTTTTTTTTAGGATAATAATCCACCAACATTTAAAAATGAAGTAGTCCTTGATAATACATCCATGGATGCTAAAGAAATGCTACAGTCATTAAGGAAGGAAGCTACAGCTTTACAGGGACAGATACAGTATCTACAGGTAAGATTATAAAAATAATATAAAATTTTACTTAACTCTTACCAATTGGCAGTGATTTAGAAACAATCTATTGAACAACTCGGTGCCGCATTTTGACCGAAACGTATCTGCAGTAAACTTGATATTATTGTGTATCTTTACAATTAATTTGTTATGAAATTGTAGACATTGTAGAACAGTTACAATAATATCTAATTTTATTTTCTGTAGTATAACAGGTTGATACCAGTGTCTTGATAATTAATTAGCGTCATGACAATTTTTTTATCATTCCATAGAAAAGTGTAAAATATCGTTCTTTATATATCTCCGTCTTTTTTAATGAAAATTTTGCTTTATGAATTGCTTCGTCGTTTTACAGTACATATTTAGAAAAAAATATTATATAATAAAAAATGTAAAATTCGAAAAGAAATAACTTATAACTTGTGGAAGTAACGAATAAGCATGAAGCCCGCGGACCGCACGTTGCTCATCCTTGATATATTGCATACGGCGTTTCAATGCGAACTGAGTCATTGCGTACTAACACGAAAACATATTGCCGTAAATTAACATGCGATATGAGTATTACAACAATAACAAATAAAACTAGTGGTGCATGGCATCGTGTTTTAAGGCAAATTGCTGGAACTTCCCGTACTAAAAATATTTTTTAAAAAAAAAAAAGCTTTAAAGTTTTTTGGAAACATTAACAAAATAAGATCGTTTAAATTTTTGAAAACTTAGTTTTTTTTCTATATTTTGAAATTTTTTTCGAAAATTTTGAACAAGCTGCGTTTTTAGAGAAGAAATATCAAAGCGCGTAAGCGCTGCGTCGCAGTGTAACGGATAAACATTGAATCGGAACTCATAAAAATAAAAACAAAATTCATACTTATTAATAAAATCTTTATAAAATATCTGATAATTTGATGTGCATATGTCTAATGATCATTTTTGTTTGCCATTATTTGTCACTTTATTGAATCTCCGAAACCGCTAGACCTGCCTTCCGAAAAATTTATTCATTTCTTCATTTTGTCAATAAAAGTAAAATGTTTTTTAAAGTATTGAAAACGGACGCTACGTTCTCTCAAACTGAGCTATCATTTTTGGCACTTTTTGGCCCGGCTGGGGCTGTGCCGGCCTTGTTCAAAAACTAATCAGCATGTCTCCTTATTAATAAGAATCGAATGTTTATTGAATTATTCAAATCGGATGATTTGTATTCCCAAAATCGTCGATGAAAATTTGTATCCGCACACACAAACAAACAGGCATCCATTTTTTCTAAAGTATGCCAGAATGTTCAGATACCGTTGAAACGTAAAGTAAAATCAAAAAATTCATTTTCGTTTTTTTGCGATTACTATAACTTACCCTACGGGAAGTTAATAATATATATTCTATGTATTAAAATATATTCTATGAAATTTATTTTATACATAGAATATATGAATCTTCTAGTTATAATTTAGCTCGAACCTCTTATCTCAGATATACGTGTTGGTTTCCCGGGGAAATGACGAAACTTTAATAATTTGGCATTAAATACTTGATGAACGGATAAACTTCAAAGTTTGTACATATCTCTGCGGAGTGCTTTCAAAGATGACTTATACTACTAAAATTACATTAATGTTTTATCAACGTGTTTAAATAATTTAAATTTACTCACTATTTCTGCTTGTGAACACAAATAAACCTATAATAAGTTTCATTAGTAAAAACATAAGAAAAAATACCATAACCTAGTTTTGGAACGTCTTATGATAAATTGTACTACTTAAACATTGTTTTAAATACATTTTTATAGAATCAATGATTTATCAACTTCCTACTAGAATGCCTTTTTCCATTTTTCTCTGGTGATCTCTCCATTAATTAATTAGTTTAAGTTTTTGTTATATAGTGAAAATTACTCCTGTTCTGAAAGGGAAAAGTAAAACTGTACAAAAAAAGACATTAACTAGTGGTGCCATCGCATCGTGCCTTAAAGCAAATTGCTGGAACTTTCCGTTTTAAATTTAAATTTAAAAAAATTTCAATTCTTTTTTAAAAACTTTGAAAAAAATAGATATTTGAAAATTTTATGTTTAAAAAAATGACCTTGTCGAAAAATTAGAATTTTTGGGAAATTTTGAACTTTTTTTAAAGCAATCGTACTGCTTTAACTGCATAGAGACGAATTATGGAAATGCGTAAGCGCCGCGCCGCCGTCTAACGGATAAGCATTGGTACGGAACCCATAAGAATGTAAACCAAATTTATACTTATTGTTAAAATCTCTATAAAATATCTGATAATTTGATGTGCATATGTTTAATGTTCATTTTTGACCGCCAACTGGCATTTTTTAAAACTTTTTTTTATTGGCTTTTCGAAATCAACTCCCAAAAATTTTATCAGTTCTAACTCAGTTCATTTCGTCAATACAAATAGAATGTTTTTTGAATCATTCAAACCGGAAGCTCTGTTATCTGAAAAACCTGCCCTGGCCAAAAACTCATCAGCATGTCTCCCTGTCAATACGAATCGAAAGTTGTTTAAATCATTCAAATCGGTTTATCCTATATAACTAAATCGTAAAATAAATGAGATATATTAGTTTCTTGTTCAGAACTTACACACACACACATATATATATATATATATATATATATATATATATATGTGTGTGTGTATGTGTATATTTGCGTATTTGTGTGTGATAGAAATATTTTCGGCCTCGTCTTTTTCTATGCGAGACCTGTCCAAAAATTTGCTCTTTTTGTTTATTTTTATGCCGGAGCAAAACAGACAGGAGCGGAGTGGGGTTTTAAGCCACTACGCTACTGCCGGTTCGACTACCAGCTTAAAGAGCGAAGAATTAGTTTAATTCTTTTTTTTTTTTAATGAGGACCGTTGAAAAATTCGCGTGTAACAAAATTGAG